GACCTACCCGCAGGGTCGGGGTTGTGGTTGCTGTGACACCGCAGGGTGGGGGGCTGAAGTTCTGGGGTGCAGAGCACTTCCTCCCTCCTCCTGGCCCCGCCCTGCAAGTTGATCCCTGTTCCCTGGGGTGGCCAGGCCAGGCGAGCCAGACCAGAGCTTGGCCAGGGGCTCCGCTGTTCCAGGCCCTTTCCGACTGCAGAGGAAGCCCCAGGCCTCCCCCTCCTCGTCTCCTACGCCTGAGATCACTCTTTTCCCTGCCACCAAACTGTAGGGGAGCAAAGTATCAGAAAGTACAAGCAAAAGTGGTAATTCTCTGGTGTTACCCTTTTCTTGTCTGACGCATCTTATCAGTAACAGCCTTCAAGCAACCACCCTCTCCCATCTCCCCGCAGCCGCTCCCGCAGCCGGGCACCTGACAAGGGGCCTGCAGGGGACCTTCGGGCTCTATCCCTCTGGGATCCGCCCTCGTTCCCACAGTGGAGCCCGGCCAGCCTGGTCATACTGATGGGTGCTGCAGGCCCCCTGTGGCGCGTCCCTCCTCCTCTGCACCGTTCTCCCAGGGTCCCCTGCGTACCATTTCATGTCCATCCCGTCCCTGCATGTCACGCTGCCCTGTTGCCCCTCAGCCATTTCCCTGTCAAGGAGACATTCTAGTGGTTTCCAGCCTGTCTGCCCCAAGTGAGCATTACATGCCCAGGGCGCCCTGTTTTCCTTCTCACTGTCTTCTCTAGCCAGTCCCAGAAGTGGGGTGACTGCAGCCTCGAAAATTCCCCCTCACTCCTTCAGATGAGGAGGGGCCCCTGCGAGTCCTTGGTCTGTTCAAAGCTCCCACAAGCCAGAAGCAGCAGCAAAGTCACAGTGCGTCTGGGTGCCAGGCGACACCCCTGCAGCCCCAGCCAGAAAAGCAGCAGCATGAACCTGAGGCACAGGGCTGCCCACTGGCCCCCAGCCAACCTTAGAGCCCCTCCTTCCCTCGGCGTGTGTGCGCGCGTGTAGGGGGGCTCTCACCTTGCCTCTCAGATGACTTCGTGACAGACTTACTTGCTGTAACTTGCTCTTTTTTCCCCTTAAAACATTGAGAAGTTTCTGTCTTCCAATTTTTGTCAACATCATGTGGGGCCCAAGAGGCTGTCTGCTACTGGCCCTGGCAGCCTCACACACCCAGGTAACCCACCCCATGGCCACATACCCCCCAGGTACCTTCCAGAATTCCTCAGACCAGGAAGGGACCGCCTCGGGCCCCATGCTGGGTCTGTAGAGCGGCCTGCCTTCCAAAACAGTCCTTAACCCACACCTGCCCCAGATCGTGTTTGATGAGTGTCACAAGGCGAAGAACGCCAGCTCCACCAAGATGGGCAAGGCCGTGCTGGACTTGCAGAACAAGCTGCCCCTGGCCAGGGTGGTCTACGCCAGCGCCACAGGTTAGGGTGTGGGGGAGGGGCGGGGAGCTACCAGGGCCCCATCGGTCATCGATTGATGATGCCTGCCCTGGCCCCCTGGTATGTACCCCGGCTCCCGCCAGGCCCTAGGAGGCACCTGGATACAGACCCCTGTCCTCACATAGACACCAAGCCCCATCAGGGGCCTCCCCTCTGTCAACAGGAGCCTCAGGCCCCCGGCCTTGCTGGGCTAGAGGCCCTGACAGAATGTCCCCCTCCCCCAGGTGCCTCTGAGCCCAGGAACATGATCTACATGAGCCGCCTGGGCATCTGGGGCGAGGGGACGCCCTTCCGGACCTTCGAGGAGTTTCTGCATGCCATCGAGAAGAGGTGTGCCCCACCCCCACCCCACCTATGACGGGAGAGGAGCAACAGAGGGCCCTGCTTGTCACACATGGAGGCATGGTGTCAGGTGCCACCACCCCGCTCCTCTGGCAACCAGAGGGATCTTAAAATGCAAGTCCCGTCCTTTCTCTGCTTAGTGCTTCCCTCAGTCTCGGGGCTAGGGCCCCTCCTTGGCCCAAGCAGACCGCCTTTTTTCCGTTCCAAGGCCCACGGGTGGCAGCCACAGGGTCTTCACACACACTGTCTCCGCCCCCACCAGCGTACCTGGCCCTTCCTCCCTCTCCTAGGGCTCAGCTCTGGGGCACTCCGTCCCTGGGTGGGGCCCAGCATGGAGTCCAGCAGGTCCCCGGCCAGTGCCCAGGCAGCCTGTGTTCATCTGCAGGGGTGTGGGCGCCATGGAGATCGTGGCCATGGACATGAAGGTCAGCGGCATGTACATCGCACGCCAGCTCAGCTTCTCTGGTGTCACCTTCCGCATCGAGGAGATCCCGCTGGCCCCGGCCTTTGAGCGCATCTACAACCGGGCGGCTCTGCTGGTGAGTCTCTCACCAAGTGGGCGCCTGCATCTCCCCTTGGCATTTACCCCCGTCGCCTTCAGCATCAGTCCATATAGATGCCACAGGGATTTGTCAAATTATCGGACGGGGAGCAGCTGGCCTGCCCGCCTCGGTCTTTGGCAGGAGCTCAGCGTCTAGATTCTGTTCTGGTCGAGAATTCCACACGGACTGTAGAACTGGTCCCTGCCTCACCTCCCCACGGTTTCATGAGCATGTTGCCCCCAGGGCATGACCCAGAGCTGGTGGCCTTTTTCAGTCTGTCCCTGGGGCCATCCCTGCTCCGACCCACTTGATGCCAGGAGCCCCACAGTGTGACAGCCATAGATGCACCAGACATGGTCCAGTGTCCCCTGGGGGCAGGACCACCCTAGGGAGACCCCTGATCTAAAGTGTCCAGAGCCCAGTGGCTGCTGGCAGAAGGCGCTCACTGCAGGTGCCCCTCCACCTGCAAGCATGGTTTACTTCCCAATGTGCTGCGTGCCGTTTTCACCTGGCCATGCCAGTGCCATGCTTCTTGGTTTCTGAATGTTTCTGACGGGTGGGGTATCATCAGTGCCTCTGTTGCTCTAGTGGTGGCCCCCCGCCCCTGGCCCCACACTTCAGTGGAATGTGGCTGGTGGGCAGGCAGCCCAGGTCCCGGGCGGGGCTGGCCGTTGTGTGCTCAGCCCACCGTATCATTGCAGTGGGCCGAGGCCCTGGGCGTGTTCCAGCAGGCAGCCGACTGGATCGGCTTGGAGTCTCGCAAGTCCCTGTGGGGTCAGTTCTGGTCAGCCCACCAGCGATTCTTCAAGTACCTGTGTGTTGCCGCCAAGGTGTGCCGGCTGGTGGAGCTGGCCCAGGAGGAGCTGGCCCGGGACAAGGTGCGCTGATGCAGGTGGTGGCGGGGCTGTGTTGGGACCCTGCATCCCCGTGTGAAGGGCCACTGGGCAGAACCAGGCACCCGGTGTCAGTCCCACAGTCGCAAAGGAGGCTGCGCGTGACTGGGCTGGACCCATGAAGACAGGGTTGGGAACAGCCGTGCTGAGGCCCAGAAGGTTCTGGTCCCGCTCAGTCCAAGCTCCCTGCAGCAAGTGGCAGACAGGGTCTTGCCTAGCTCCCCGTGTCTCCAGAAAGAACAGGGCAGGGGCCAGATGAGAAGAGCAGAGATGCAGGAGCTGAGGCTGGCTCCTGGCTGCCAGGTGGAGATCTGGGCTTGTTGGGGGCCCGGCAGCCCTCAGGACACAGGGGGACCCCGGGGAAGGAGGCAGAAACTGAGGCCAACCCCAGCTCTCCTGCTGTTGGGCTGGGTGTAGGGGCCTGGGGCTTCCTTGTGGGCGCCTCTGGGGTCCCGCTCCTGGGCTGGTGGGCAGGGGCCCCAGCCGCTCACCCCCACCGCACCCCACAGTGCGTGGTCATCGGGCTGCAGTCTACGGGTGAGGCGCGGACTCGGGAGGTGCTGGATGAGAAAGAGGGGCAACTTGACGGCTTCGTCTCCGCCGCTGAGTGAGTGGTGCCTGGGGCCCCTGGGGACCCCTCCCTGTGTGACTGATTAGGTGTCCCTGCCCTGGGGCCAACCTGTGGTCTGGCCCTGTATGTGACCCCAGCTGCGGGAGCCAGCCGGCCCCGACCTTCAGAGACCTTAGGCCCAGCTGTAGTTGTAAGGCCCAAAGCGGGAACTGTGGAGACCCCAGAACAGGGAGGGTGCTGCAGAGGGTCCCAGGACCTTAGAGTGAGGCTCCCAGGTGCCCACCTCCCAATGTGGTTATGGTGCTATTTCAAGGGCTGCTTGGATTATAGAGACTGGCCCAGGTGGTCCCTGAAGACCCGGGCCCCTCACCCCAGAGCCAGAGAGGCCACCCCCGCCCACCCTGAGCGTAGGTCCCAGCACAAGGCCCCTTGCCCAGCTCTGCCCCATCCTGTCCGCCACACCCCAGCATCACGTCTCTTCTCTGGGAAGCCCCCAGCCCCTCCTCACTCCCCATTCCTGGAAGCTGCCCCGTACCCCACAGAGGTGGTCAGCCCCTGCTGTGGGCCCTTTGACAGCAGGAGTACCCCCATCACAGCACAACTGTGCCCCCTGTAGCCACGGACCCCCCAGGTGCAGAGGGGGCCCCCGCCCCACTGTCCTTGCAGCTCCTTTCCCTCCTGCCCACCTTCTCTGAGCCCCTGACGTGAGTCCCTGTGCCCAGACCCACCCGCAGGGTCCCCTGGCACCAGGCATCCCCCCCACAGAGCAAACCCACACGTGGGACCATCCCCTCCAGGTCTCCTGGCCCGACAGCTTGACCTTGCTTCTCACTCTCAGGGGCGTCTTCCTGTCACTAATCCAGAAGCACTTTCCCTCAACGAAGAGAAAGCGGGAGAGAGGAGCAGGCAGTAAGAGGAAACGTAAGCCCTGTCCACCACCTCCCTCCAGCCTCCCTCCCTTCTGAGCGCTGGGTGGGGGTCATGCCCGCCGCCCCCTCTGCTGCTGGCTGCACAGACACATGGCCTGACCCCTGACCCCCACCCCAAGCCTCCGAGGCAGCTGCCGAGTCAGCAAATAAAACAAACCCAGCGCTGCAGGATGGGAGTATGGCTAGCTCATCCCTGCACCCCATGCAGTATCTGTCCTCGCCTCCAAAAGGCCAGGGCCTGGGTGCAAGTGAGACCTCAAGGCTGAAACCGCACCAGTCCAGTGGACCAGGACGGAGCCTTTAAAGAGCATCCTGGATGGGGAAGTGACTTCATAGCACCTGCTGGCATGCAGTGCCTGCTGTCCTTCTAGGCAAATACCCAGCAGCAGCTCAGGGTGGGAAGTGAGGCTCAGAGAGGCCAAGCAACTCACCTGAGGGCACACAGCCAGGCCTGGGGGCCCAATCTGGCTCCTTCCACTTCCCAGGACTGGCCTTCTGGGCTCCCGGTCAGCAGCCAAATTCCTGGGCCCCTGGACCACCATCCCCTCAGGACCTGAGCATGTCCTCGGGCTGACCCGCCCAGGGCCGCCTCATGAGTTTGGGCATGTGCCCTCCCTAGGTGTGGCCCGAGGACACACCAGTGTGTCAGGAAGTCTGTCGGGGATGTTAAAACTGCTCCTTTACCCTGCGCCCTAGCCAACAGCAGGACCCAGACCTGCCAAAGCTGGATGGAGCTAGGGGCTTGGGCCCTGAACCCTGACCATCCCCCACACACTGGCCTGTCCCCAGGCTGCTGGGAGTCCCTCCAGGCCAGGTCCCCTGGACAGAGACGCAGGGCTGGACCACAGTGACCCCTGCCTGCTTTCCTGCAGGGCGGCCACGGGGCCGCGGAGCCAAGGCACCCAGGCTGGCGTGCGAGGTGGCAGGCGTGATCCGGATCAGTGATGACAGCAGCACGGAGTCGGACGGCGGCCTGGACAGCGACTTCCACTCCTCCCCCGAGTCCCTGATGGATGACGACGTGGTCATCGTGGACACCATCGGGCTTCCAGTTGATGACCGCGGTGAGGCTTGTGGCTGCCCTCCATTTCCCCGTTTCTCAAGTCGGGGTGCTGAGTCTCAGGGGAGTCAGGGCGCATGGCTGGGCAGGGGCAAAGCCGGGTTCATGCTGACAGCCTGGGGTTAAGGAGGTTCTGGACCCCCACACCTCCTGGGTACCTGGCTTACCCCCACTCCCGAGGGACCCCCTCATCCTCCACGGCCCAGGACTGCGTCTCCCTGCAAGTATGGCTGTGAGCAGGTGGCCTGGCTGGTCATTTCTGACCCTCTGGCCCCACAGGCCCGCTGTGCCTCCCACAGCGAGACCTGCATGGCCCTGGCGTCCTGGAGCGGGTTGAGCGGCTGAAGCAGGACCTGCTGGCCAAGGTGCGGGCGCTGGGTCGGGAGCTGCCTGTCAACACCCTGGACGAGCTCATTGACCAGCTGGGGGGCCCAGAGAGGGTGGCAGAGGTGAGCTTTGGTGCCCCCTGGTGGCTGTCTTGGAGAGGTGAGGGTGGCCACAGGGCCCAGCGTCCAAGTGTCCTGCTCACTGGCCAGGGCTGCTGCTGGAGGGCTCTCTTCTCTTAGCCACTGCCGCCCCCCCCCCGCCCTCTGGCCCAGCTCCTCGTCCCCCTGCCCCACACATCCTCTGTGTTCTGGGTGCACTCTTGGGCCCAGGCCTGTCCCCCGACCCCAGAACACCCCTGTGCTTCCTTCTACCTGGGCTAGTCTGCTGTTTCTCAGGACGTCCTTCTGGTGCCACCTTAAGTTTGTTGTGGCCCAAGGCAGCTGGGTTCTGGGAAAAGACTTAGGAAGACAAGTGAAAACCCTGTCAGTTGCTCCGTGGGCCCCAAGCCCGGGGAGAGGCGAGTCCTGGCCCAGGGTCTGCTGCCCCTCGCCACACACACCCAGGTGCCCCAGGGTCACAGGTGGGGAAACCGAGACACGCGGGGACCAGCCCCTGGCAGCCACACCAGCTGACAGCCTGTCCCTGGCCCCACCCTGGCCACAGATGACCGGCAGGAAGGGCCGCGTGGTGTCCAGGCCTGATGGGACAGTGGCCTTCGAGTCACGGGCAGAGCAGGGCCTCTCCATCGACCACGTGAACCTCAGGGAGAAGGAACGGTTCATGAACGGCGAGAAGGTGGGGCCCTGGGGGAGGTAACTGTGGGGCTGTGTCTGCAGGGCACCCCCTGGACCAGGAGCGGGGAGCCCACAAGGGCCCTGTGGGCAGGGGAGGTTCAGGGGTCCTGGAGGGCTGGCTCGAGGACCAAAGCCCTCCCTGGCCCGCCCCACCTTCTGTCCGAGTCGCCCATGCCCGCAGCTTCTCTGAGCTGCTCCATGGGAGCTGATGTCCACAAGGCAGGCAGACCCTCCAGGGGTGGTCAAGACTCTGTTCTAAGCCCACACGGGCACCTCTACGGATACGCGTATCTGAACTTCCTGTGCGGGTCACCCTGAATGCATCCAAGTGACCTGGGCCCAGGGCCGGAGGAGCAGGCTGTCTGCCCTGATGACCTGGCCGTGTCCACGCCTCCCCAGCTCGTGGCCATCATCTCAGAGGCCTCCAGCTCCGGTGTCTCCCTCCAAGCTGACCGCCGGGTCCAGAACCAGCGGCGCCGGGTCCACATAACGCTTGAGCTTCCCTGGAGTGCTGACCGCGCCATCCAGCAGTTCGGTTAGCCCTGTCCCCACCCCTGCCCCAGGTCACCCAACCCTGCAGGCCTGCCAAGGTCTCTAAAAGTCTCCTCTGCCTCCAGGCAGGACCCACCGGTCCAACCAGGTCTCTGCACCCGAGTACATCTTCCTCATCTCAGAGCTGGCTGGGGAGCGCAGGTTTGCCTCCATTGTGGCCAAGCGGCTGGAGAGCCTGGTGAGTGTGCGGGCCAGGGGCTGGGGGAGGCTCCCTGAGGAGGGCAGATCAGGGAGGAGTGTGGGCCACCTGTGACAGCCTCTCCCATCCTGGGCAGGGGGCATTGACCCACGGAGACCGCCGAGCCACCGAGTCCCGGGACTTGAGCAAGTACAACTTTGAGAACAAGGTACCCAAGGAGGTAGGGCCCGAGAGAGGAGGGTCCCGGGGTGCCCAGCCCAGCCTCTGACACGACCCTCGCCCCTCCACGCAGTACGGCGCCCGGGCCCTCAGCTGCGTCCTCACCACCATCCTTAGCCAGACCGAGAGCAAGGTGCCGCTGCCCCAGGGCTACCCGGGAGGGGACGCCGCCTTCTTCCGCGGTGAGTTGGGGTGCCTGCAGTCTCCCCAAGGGGTGCCATCTGGGCCACTGGGATTGGTGTCAAAAGGTCCTCCCCACACATGCCAAGGGGACACTGGTGGTGAGGGGGATCCCTGGTGGGCTGGGGTGAGGGCCGGGAGGGAAGCAGGTGTGAGGCCCCCTCCCTCCCCGCAGACATGAAGCAGGGGCTGCTGTCGGTTGGCATCGGAGGGCGCGAGTCCAGGTCCGGCTGCCTGGATGTGGAGAAGGGTGAGCCCCCAGTAGAGCCTGGGGCGGGCGGCGCCCCCAAACTTCCGTGTCCAGTGGACAGGGAGAGGCTGGGCTCAGCCGCAGCCTGAGGCTCCGTCCCGCCACCAGACTGCTCCATCACCAAGTTCCTGAACCGTATCCTGGGGCTGGAAGTGCACAAGCAGAACGCGCTGTTCCAGTACTTCTCCGACACCTTCGACCACCTCATCGCGGTGGACAAGAAGGAGGGCAAATATGACATGGGCATCCTGGGTGAGCACCGGCGGCCAGGCCAGGCCCGCCCTGCTAGACCCCCCTCCCCAAGGCCGGAGCCTGGGCCCCACTCATCCTGCTGGCTCTCTTCCAGACCTGGCTCCCGGCATCGACGAGATCTACGAGGAGAGCCAGCAGGTGTTCCTGGCCCCCGGGCACCCACAGGACGGGCAGGTGGTCTTCTACAAGGTGATCAGACACCGCCCAGGCCCTTCGTCCCGCCCGTCGTCCCCGCCCCCCATCCCCGCCCCCCATGTCCCCACCCATCATCCCCGCCCCACACATCCCCGCCCACTGTCCCGCCTCTCACCCCGCCCCTTGTCCCACCCATCGTCCCCACTCCCTCATCCCCGCCCTCACATCCCACTCCTCCTCCCAGCTCCCACATCCCCACCCCCTCGTCCCACCCATCGTCCCCGCCCCCCACATCCCCCTAATGCCCACGGGCCCTGCAGATCAGCGTGGACCGCGGCCTGAAGTGGGAGGAGGCGTATGCCAGGTCTCTGGAGCTGACAGGCACCCACGACGGCTTCTACCTCTCCTACAAGGTGGGGACCCCCAGCAAGCCCCCAGTACCCCAAGGGCAGGACCCCAGCAGCTGGTGGGCTGCGGGGCGAGGGCAGCAGTCAGCCTCAGGCCCTCTTGGGCACGCATACCTTGGGGACCAACACTCAGCACGTGGGGTAGTGCCCCCGCCCTGACGCCCACCCCTGCCCAGGTCCGTGACAACAAGCCCAGCTGCCTGCTGGCCCAGCAGAACCGCGGCAAGCTCTTCACCGTGTATAAGCCCAACATCGGGCGGCAGAGCCAGCTGGAGACGTTCGACAGCCTGTGCCGGAAGTTCCACCGGGTAGGCCCAGCCGTGCCCCCACCGAGGCCCTGTAGTTCCAGCCTCCCCCGTGGCTCCTCCCTGGCGGGCCTCCTGCTGTCCCCAGGCCGCCTTCGGCTTCCATGCTCCGCTGCCCTGGCTACCAGGTGCAAGATGAGCAGGCCTGGGGCACTGTGGAGCCCGGGGACACCCGTCCAGGGGCCCAACTGCCTGTCTCCACAGGTGACAGCGGAGGAGGCCAGGGAGCACTGGGAGAGCAGCTACACCTTCTCGCTGACGCACTGCAGCCACACCACGTGGTGAGGCCCAGGCTGGACTGGAGAGGGGGAGGCTGTGCGCTGCTGTGGAAGGAGCCGAGGGCGGTCCTGGAGGCTTGGCGGATGAGGGGGCAAGGGGCCGGAGCAGGGTGGGCGGGGCTGGGGAAGGCAGGCACAGGCAGCGAGCCTGTCCTGTGCAGGAACCGGCACTGCCGGCTGGCGCAGCAGGGTA